GTATTGTATTAACTACGTATATACTTAATTTATTAAACATTTTAAAGTAAAAAAAATTACAACGAATAATTAAAAAATCAATTACACTTTAATTATTATAGTTGATTTACGCATTAAATATCAATTTATTACATTTATGCCATAAAAGAGTTTCTAATATAAAAAAGCAACATAATAATTTTTGCTAAATATGATTTCGCCAAAGATCCACGACATATAATACTATATTAATAACTACGATTAAGATTATTGCATTCACCTCTTAAAACGCAACCACAGTGCCTAGTACAAATTACATTGTTTTTGCGACAAGAGCAGCTTTTAGTTTTGCAGTTTGTTTTGCTACAATTACAATTATCATTTCTCTTAGAATTTTTTTCCTTCACTTAATTGATTGTTTGACGCTGGATAATTGAGTCATCTTCAGTATCTTGTATAGTTAGTATAGAGCGAGTCAAATTTTGCTTTGCAGCTGCGTTTCTTAAAGAAATAAAATTGTCCAGTGGAATAACATCAAGCATTGGATATTCGCTTGTACCTAAAGGTTCCAATTCATTTGCTGAAAACCACGTATCTAAAATCCCAAATTGACACCCAACCTGATAAGAATCAAGGTTTGGTTTTTTCTGAATAATTTTGCATGGTAAAGCACGTCTATCCATCTTTATCTTATCAATATCTGGAACTCTAATTTTGACAAACTCTCCTGAAGTAAAAATTAAAGAACGCTTAGTTTTATGACGCTTTTCCATAATAGTGCGAATAATTTGACGGTTTTTTTGAACATGTTGTATTGCTATATCACATATAGGTTTGTGATTGTCAAGATATGCACGAGATTGACTCTTAATTGATATCTGACTTTCTTTATTTGAATCTTTAATTGGTATATAAATTTCTTGATCCAAATCTTCAATTGGCGCATAGCTTTCTTGATCCAAATCTTCAATTGGTGCATAGCTTTCTTGGTCCGAATCTTCAATAAATGTATAGGAACAGCTTGCTGGATTTGAATCTTCAAATAGAAAATTAGATAAATTCTCTTGGTTTAAATCTTCTACGTTTATGATTTCATGCTATATATAGAATTATATATTAATATATAAATATTTTAATATAATATATACGTATAAATAAGTATACTTTACATTATTATCCAAATCTGATTCACGTCCTTTTCCTTTTTCTCTCGTTTGTGATACAATAATTTCATTATCATTAGCATTAATAAAACTATTTTCACGTGATATAATCATTTTGTCCAAGAAACTACTTTCTCGTGATATAACCATTTGGTCTTTTGAATTATTAGCACTAGATAAAAGATTGCATTCGTCATCACTATCGTCATTTATTATAATTGTATCTATATCATTTTCTATAACTGAAGAATCTTCTAAAAAAATTTATTAATTGTTAAATTATTATTAGATTTATTTATAATAAAAAAAATTATAAAAAAATATTTATAATACGATAATTATTAATCATAAAATTTGATTGACTAGACGATGCTTGATTTTCTAATGGAATATCCTCTTCCTTCACAATATTTTGTTGATAAAGCATCGAGATTATTTGTAAATCTGCTTGTGGTTCTTGACCGAATACCAATTTATATGGTGTTGTTTTTGTCGCACTACATACTTGGTTATTCATAGCCCCTGTGGCAAAATATAATATATTAGCATTATTCTATGGATCAGTATAAATTATATAATAAACAAATATTAATTTTTTTATTTACAGATTATGAATGGTAATCCAATACTCCAGTCATTCCTTTTTGTTTCATCCATCCATGATCCGAGCTTGGTCTGTAAAATGTCATTACCTTTCTCAACAGAGCCTTGACACTGAGGGTATCTTGGCCTTCCATGTATAAATTTAACCGATGGCCAGAGTTTTATAGTTTCTTTTACAACATTACCAACAAATTCTCCGCCATTATCTGAATGTAAAATTGAAGGCGGTCCATATTTTAAGCAAAATTGCAAGAGAAAACAGGCTGACTCAATTGCAGATTTTGTTTTAGCTGGTTCTGCGGCAGAGAATCTTGTAAAATGATCTCGTATATGGATAATATATTTGAATTCTCTATCTGGTATTGCAGTCATGTTTATAGTATCGATCTTCAAAAAAAAATAAAAATTTATTATATTATAATAATATAATAATAAAAAAACTATTTATATTTATAGAACTTACTTGAACATGAGCAAGAAATTTCTCAGCGATTATAGGTTTCATAGCAGGAGCACGTTTTGTTGCACGTCGTGCAACACATGTATTACATTGCTTTACTGCATTTTCTACAATCGCTTGAGGTATAAAGCAATATCTTTGTCGAACCTATTTATGTATATATGAGATATGTATTATCATTATTACATATATATTTAATAAAAATTTTATTAATTTTAGTAAAAACCTACTTTTAACCATGTTTTTTCTTGACCACCATGCTCTGTATCTTGATGAGCCTGGCAAATTACATTGTAAAAATCTTCAATCGGACAAACTTGAGTACCACGGCCATCATTTTCCGATTTCTTAAGGTTTAATTCTTCTATAATGCCAACTTTAACTAGTTTAAATGTATTTACTGCCCAATATTTAAAGTTGGGATTTTCATGTGTGCTTTTAGGATTTCGTAGAAGAGTTAAACAGTGATTGTATTTTAACTGATTCATTATATTTCTTTCATTTTTTCGATTGTTCATATAATCATTTACAATTTTTTCAAAGGTTTGAGGTGAAAGAAATGAAAAAACTAACGAGTTATTAGAAGTCATAATGATACTAAAAAAAAAAAAAAAATAGAAATCGGTAAAGTTTTTTTTATTAAAATCAATTTATATAATTAAAGTATCGTACCAGATACTACCACCGATATTGTATCTACACAGACACAGTTTATTCACTAAGAATACTCAAAGATCGCGAGAACCAAGTTATTTCACGAGAACAAAAGTTTATTCACTAAGAATCAAAGTTAGGCACTTTCCCATTCGGATCAATGCCTTATACATTATTACTAATCGCTATTGATTACTACCGCTACATTGTTTATGCAATACTAATCGCTAATGATTACTACATTGTTCATGCAATCACTATTTTAGACTTTTAATTATTATGCATTATTTAGCCCCGCGACACTAAATCAGTAAAGGTTCTTATTAAGATCGATTAAAAAAATAGTTTATTAGCAATTAATTTGAGCGTAGTTAATATTGACATACGTCACATTTCAATCGGTATAAATTTTGAAACGACACATGTTAATTTAAAACCCAGAGATATTATAAAGCGACGTGTGACAT